TATATATATATATATATATATATATATATATCATACATCGGTTTACGCGTAAAAGTTTGATTAAGTGAAAAATACGACAGAAGATGTTCCTGAAGGATATTCATATCCCAGAGTAATTTTAGTGCTTTCAATCTCCTTGCTTACTTCCAACGAAGAGGCTTGAAAATTTACTGAGTTTACGACGTGCACGTGACTGAACTTCTATTTTCGAGATTAACTGCAACGACCACTTTTGCAACTTGCAACTTCAGCTCGTTTCATATCCAATTCGCGATGGGAAAGTAAAATCTTAGTTTATTTATATTTAATGTTTGTAGAACATTCGCCACCAGTTGTATCTCACTCGATTTTAGGACTTATCTCTCTCTCTCCCTCTGTCTTACTTTAATTGTCATCTCACGAATGAGAACGAATTCTCGAATTTTCGTCACCTGAGATCGATATTGAAAATATTCGGAGAAATTTTGGAGAATTACTTTAAGAGGATTCGATTCAATTTTAGAGAAGAATTTAGGACTTCGAGAGAAGGATTGTTAGAAACGTAGGAAGGTTTTTCATCAGGAATTTCGGACGATTTTAGGAAAGTTCGTAAGAATCTAATTCGAGGATCAACTTCAAACCATCTTGGAGAAAAATTCTCAAGGGTACCGAAATTTTAATTTCAATGGATTTCTAACTTAGATGCTACGCAAATTTCAAGGATCCCCTCTCCTTAAAAAAAAGAAAGAAACTTCACGAAGTCATTCTTCAAAAATCTGTCTACGTCACTTTCAATCGACGAATCCTCCCTCGTCAAAAGTTTCCCAATTTCTGCCGCGACAATTCGAAAGCAAAGCAAAAGAAGAATACTCGTTCTCTACGTTCCATGAAGATAAAGATCTTTGTCGTTCGACCATCGGTCACGGTACCTCGGACATTATATGAGCCGTTTTATTTCGAAAGCTGCCTAAGTCCATTTTCCAAAAAAATCAAGCTGGCTGTTTCAATATTTACGTTTCTAATATATTTAAAGTCACTAAGATTTCGTGCACAGAAAATTAACTGGTTAATAGAATGATAAAGATTTTTAAGAGTTTTCAAACTGATACGAAGTGATATTATTTCGCTAAAATTTTATGAGATAAGAGCTATATTTTTCATTATTAAGTAGTGTCCGATTTTGTTCTAAATAATAATATTCTATATTATATAATATTTAATTTAATTTTAATATAAATAATATTTAATTAAATTTAATATAAATAATATTCTAACCTAACCTAACCTAAACCTAACCTAAACCTAAACCTAAACCTAACCTAATAATTCTATTAAACATAGAGGATTCCATTTCAATTAAAACTCTAGAGGAAGCGGTTTTTAAAAAGTTAAAAAATACTAATGGAGAAAGGGTAATTGATTAAAAATATGTTTAATACGTACAAAAATATAAGACCAATCGCAATACTAAAATACAATGATATAATGGACTTATTGCACTATATATCATCTGTTACACCATAATTATTTTAAATCCCTCATGCACACGCAAATTGGGCAAGAACGAATTATAAATTACGAAATATCATTTGAATGTAACATTTCTTTAATAGTGAATAAAAGTTGAACATCTTTTAATTTTGTAACACAAAATTGTAATATTTTTCTTTATTTTAAGGGAATTTTATTTTTCTCAAAGGACTTGTGCCTTTTTAAAAAATTGAAACAGTTATTTCGTCAATTTTGAGAGTGGC